TAAATAACTGGTGGTTGGACGCAAATGATACAGAAGTACACACCATTTTCTTTGGTGCCAACAAAATCAACAAATGGAAAAAAATATGGAAGAATACTCCCAAGTGAAACGATTGACTTTTTGGTGGAATCGATTGAAACCACTAGTAAGTTGAAAGTATATATATGTATATATAACATCCCCTCTCAAAATTTCCGCCGCGTCCCTTAAAATTATAAAACACTGATCACATAAAGTGGCTATTCTTTTACATGGATCACACCACTGATCCCTCCCACTGGATCGCAGGATGACGAAGAGGAGGATGCCGCGCCATCCGCACCATCTGCACCATCCGCACCATCCGCGCCGAGCAATCCTGAGGAGATTGATGACTCATCCACTGATATCTTCACTAGTTCTATTACTGCAGATACTATGTCTACTACCGTACTGTTTATTGTGTGGATAATTTCTGGCAATTTGACATGGCATAGTTTTTTGGAAAATCCTGTATTGATAGCCATTTACGGATGACATTACGATGACCACTGAATGGACTTGTTTATTTATTGTCCTAGTAAGAAATCAAACAAGAACGGGGTATCGATGATGATATTAAGGTGTAGAATTGGAGTTGGTCTGTTACAATAATCCAAATTGAATTTAGGGGTTTATGAATTCAGGGGTGAGTGGTTCCAATCAAAAGCATCCAAATGAGCAGAGTACGGTAACTTTAAATTGGAATATCATCCAATTACCATCAGGAAATCTTAATGCAATATTTACAAATTATCCAAAAGCATCCAATTTCCAATTCAGTTTTGGTAATTGGTTGATCGGCCTTTTTTCGCGCGCTTGCAACTCAAGAGAGGTTACATGAAACCACCAGTTTTGCCACCGACGCTGCATGTCATTGTGCTACGAATGAAAAGGATCAACCAATTGGAAAAGTTCCCAGAATTGGTTTCAAGAAAACGATACAGGACGCCTATGTAAAGAAAAACGCAGTTTCCAGTAAAATTTCCCTTGAATCAATCCATTGAATTGTGGGGTTCACCACTACCAGCAATCAAACATGGCGTGATTCGATGACTTTCCGATGACTGTAACACCTCCATTTCGTCGGAATCTTGTCCAGCCAGCCAGCCATGTTTGATGACACCAAAGGGTGCGGAAGTCATCAACGGATCTAAATCGAAAGCAACATGATGAAACAACTATTTATATAAACCATATTGGGCCAGCATTTTTCCATTCAATTGCGTATTTTGTTTTTTGATTGTGAAGGGTTGTTCAAATCCTTTGACAACACCGTGTTCGGACATCCTCCGACAGTTTCCAAAAGAGGAATTTCAGTCCAAAGTGGAGCAAATTGGGAGTCGTGATCGGGCACCCAAATCTGGCCACAAATACTGCCATATTTCCCACCAAATTTGGATGTACCCATAAACTACCAGTATTTTTTCCACATCATGTTGAAAAAAAACAGTAAGCAAATGTCAACATACTGCCCCAAATACTGTCTCTAGACGAGACACTCATACTGTCGGAACCAGTCCGACAAATCCAAGAGTTCAGGATAACTATTAACTAAATTAACCTGTAAGTAGAGGGTTTGCAGCCGGACATGGCCGTAGTCTTTCCAGGATCACCCGGTGGCCCAAAAACCCCGTGGTTAGCTTCTCATGGCCCGCCGGGGACAGGAAATCGAACTCAACATGGAAGACATTGAGGAGACCCCCATCCCGTCAGAGGCGCGTTGCTGAAAAAAGCGGGCCATGGCGATCTGGCCATGGCGCAACGCTTACCCGGCCTGGTAAACGTACAAAAAGCGATTGAACATGGCCATAGAAATAGTTGATGACTACCCACTAATAGCATGGTGATTTTCCATAGTTATGTAAACGTTTACCAGAGGGTATGTCCAATTAATATGATGGTTATCATAGCCATCATCATTGATTATGGTTTCCATAATGATCCATCATATTTATGAATAGGGGAAATGGTGATGAATGTGGTGAATATTTTTTGGGGGTGCCATATGTTCAGACAAACCCATATCATATATAGTTATTTATAGTTTAAACATTAATGCAATTTCCTGGCTTTTGCCCGAAGCTCCGAAGCCATAAAACTGTATTATTGGCAAAGGTTAACAGGTGGTGCAAGTTTCAACAACCAGAAGGGATATGGATATTAACCGGCAAAAATGGGTCTTCAAATAGATAAAAAGTTGGGATAGAAACCATCAAACAATGATTATCTCTTAGATTCAGCTTTCATTTGCTAGAGAAGATCCAGTTTACTATTAGCGCATTCATGTCAGGACATGGTTCATGATCTGTTCTTTTCTTTCAAACTTGAAGAACTCCCCAAAAAAATCCACAAAAAGTGGTCAAGTTTGGCACAAAGTTTGGCACGAAGTTTGGCACAGATGGTGACTTCCGTAGAGGAAAGTGTCCTGCTTGGGACCCGAGGTCTTTGGCGGCGGACTGTCGAGCATGAGAGCCAATCTTCCAGTGGCCCGGCGGTACATCCGACGGGGGGTTTCCAAAAATGGTGGTACCCCCAGTTATCATCCATTTATAGATGGGTTTTCCATGAAATAAACCATCCAGCTATTGGGGTACCCCCATTTATGGAAACCCCCACATAGTTCTGACAGTTCTGGATTTGGTTTTAATCAGTTTTAGTCATATTCATGGGTATTTGCAGGGTAATGGTATGTTTGACAATAGTATGTGTCATATCTCAAGAAAAAGAACAACCATCCACAGGTTAATCATAATCTCCCTTATTTAGAATCTGTTAGATTGGCGTGTCTACAGCGTGTTCAAACATTCGCATATAAGATTGTTGGTTACATCACGCTATATATATATATATATCACCCATGATACCACAATGTGTTGTTGGTGATATATCACTAGTTCCAGAGGAAGAAACTCTCATTTCCTAAACCATCATATTGTATGTGATATAATCACTATAACCTTGTACCACTAGTGATATATCACTGAGTTTACCCTCATCACTAGTTATATTTAATTTAGTTTCAATGTTTCATAAGTTCAAGTATCTGATGGACATTCTATTTAATAAAAATGAATATCACTTCAATGAGCATGTAACGTTAATGGAAATTATTATATTAGCATCTCTACTGGGGATACATATATGTTTCTATGAAACAAATATCATCTACTGGAATATTAGTGATGCATTATTAGATGTCATATACAGTATTTTCTACTATTATCATATTTTCTAGATTATCATATTAGATGGAATATTTTTTTAAAAAAAAAAAACTAATATCCCAATATGTTCTACTATTTTATTAGATGGATATGTTTCTATGAAAAAGCAATACGTTCAGTAGAAATATCTCAAATTAGTTATATATGCTATGTATATTATCTACTATGTTCTACTATTATTATCCTGGCTGGTGGTTTGGAACATGTTTTATTTTCCCGTATATTGGGAATAATCATCCCAACTGACTAATATTTTTCAGAGGGGTTGAAACCACCAACCAGTATCATATTTTCTAGATGGATATGTTTGACAAAACATATCTCCCCAGTTGGGTGAAGACCTTGGATGAGACCAGGAGGAGACCGTGGAAGAGCCACCCCTGGCGGCTCCTGCTCCGGCCACGGAGGCCGAACCGTGGCCCGCCGGTGGCACCCCTTGTGGCACCCGGTGAACTGGTGGTTTGATTAATCAGTTTTTGCTGGTCATATAGTCTAAGTGATGAATCTATTTTACATATAATATATACATATATATATATACACATAATAATACATATATATATATATATTGAGTTGTGTATATATATATATATGATAATTGTGATGCTAATGATGATTAATAGATGATAATCTATAATAGTATTGATATATATATATAGATGACCAAGGTGAGTTGTCCCAGTTCAAACTGGAAGAACCATAGGACCCATTGGCGCCAGGAGAAGAAACGAAGTGGTGCCCTGGCGAGATTCCAGGTGGGGCTGGGTTGAGACGTACAAAATTCATCAAAACTCAGGTTCCAAAACAACGGGTTATTACTAGGAGAACCTAGGATTTATGTTAGATAGAAATATAGTTATGGGTAATGTTGGGTAGACATATAGTTATCTATAATTAATATTACGTAATATGGTTGAAAAGCCAACAGACCTAATTGTGGGAATGGTTACCCTCTGGGTAAAGTTTTAAAGTTACAGTGCTATGGACAATCACCATGAGAGATGGATTGGTCATTCTTATGTTTCATCCCATCCATTTGATCCAGCACGTGTCGCGCAGAAGAAGGGGAAAGGCAAGGGCGGAAGCAAAGGCTGATCGCGGGCAACGCGCGACGCGCGACGCGTACATTATTGGCCTCCAAAGCAATGATGAGCAGCTGGAAAGGTGGCAGACAACATTAGCACAGATCCTCACTGACAATGCAGATGTGAGCGCTGTAAAACCCACGTTGGTTGATGATAAAGAGGGGTTTTATATACTATCAAAACATACTGGGGATTTTCATAATCTGCTCCAGGAATCCCTATGAGATTGGAAAAGTTCATCAACTGAGTTTCAAGTCTCAACTAATCAAGAAGTGCTTCACAAACATGGACAAGCAAAGAGCCAAATCTATACCTGCCCTTGTCCGCGATCGGGAAAAAGGGCTGCACAGCATCCATTAGCATTTGCCTCCGAGCGTTGATATGAAACTCAGCAACACAAGACCTGCGCATGTTGGAAGTCCGTTTGGTTCATAGCTTTCTTTGCCCAAGGGAAAGGTAGTTTGGACCAGCGAGTTTGGCATAGGCTCAACACTGTCAAGCTACCAGGATGCCAGTTGCAACACTGCATCTCTTTAGACAATGTTCAGTGATGTCCAGTGATAGATACATGGAGATGTTGCAAATAAGAGAGAGGATCAAGGGATGCTCGATTTGCCTCACAACTGGTCATTACATCCCATGTTTTAGTCACCACGGATGACCAGATGCCATGGATGTAGAAGTGGAGATTCAGTCTGACGATGGAGGTCTATTGGGTTTGGTGCCAGATAGTTGGCCTCCAGGCCCGGTGAGAATCGCTGCCGTACTTCCTGACAGCCAGGCCGCAAAGCATCAGTGACTTGCGCGCCTGGCGAAATGTGACGTGCTGATTTTGCTGGCCCACAAAAAAGATGTGATGTTTCCGTAATGTCATTGAGATTCATTGAGTATACATATATGTTTGGAAAATAGTGTAAAGAGATGTGCTTGTTTTCATCTCTGGTGTTTTTTTGTTGTCGTTGAGCATTTGAAGGATCTGCTTTGTTGTTGAAACATGCTTGAACACAGCTCATAACCTCAGAACCTTGGCTGTGTATAATCCAAACCCGGTGAAGATCATTGGTTACTGCATTGCTTATCTACATACCCCCAGGATTGAAGGTTGGATCATTGACATCCCAATCCCCCTGGCACCCTCTGAATCCCCAGAAACCATGCTGGATGTAGGGGATATTTCTCCCTGGTCTGATGATTGATGGTCATCAACCATCATCAACCGGTGATCAGCAACCTTTAACCCAATGCAGAATATACATAGATCCTTATACGTTTACCTATACATATATATATAATATATATATATATATACATGATACATGATATGAGAATACAGTTGTTTCTGCTATCATTACAATATGATACAATATCTATGATTCATGACATCTCATGAACCATCACAACATCCACCCGATTCCCCGGCTCGCTGCGCGTTTCGCTAAGGTTACGCGTGGGCGACGAGCTGCGCTGCATCAATGGCACCTCGGTGGCAGCGCTGGAGCATCGAAGCATGGCCTTGGAACTGGCGAAGAGACCCTTGACGCTGCAGATTCACCGGCCCAGCTCCAAAAGTGTCGCATGGATGAAATGCGTTTGGTTATGCCTGTTATGACTAACAGTTTGCCTCTGGTTTATCATAGGAAAATAGTGATTTAATGGTTAACAATGGTGAATAACGGGATGATAATGGGATATACCCTCTGGTTATGACTAACAGTTCGCCATGGTATTCTAAAGTGGGGAGACGCATTCTCCTGCAACTTTCGTACTACTGACAAGAATCGTTCTTCTGATTTGTCTTGGAACCAAATCTGGATAAAACAGGTTTGACCCGGTTGGATCTCATGAAAAGATCAATTGTTTACCGACACTGCAAGGATTGGTCGCAAATCTGAAAAAGACAGGTTTGATTGGTTGAGATCACAAATGATGAGCAATTTTGGCCCACAGACTGGAAGGGATGGCTGTTGCAATGCAGAAAGCTCCAGTGCGGCCTCCAGCGTTGGAGTTAAAAGACCTTGTGGAGTTTGCCCACCAGAAGGTTGGCCCTGATTTACTGAAACGAGATGCTAGCCATGATGCTATCGAGATATGTGGACAGTCGGGGAGTTTACCTGATGGGTTTCGAAAGATAGGTCTGCGGCGCTTAGCGTATGACTATCGCGCCTGGATTTCTGATAGTCTGGTAAGTTTTCTCATTGACAGGCGGGTGTCTAATGATGTATACAAAAGTATAGAAAAGCTAATATAAAGTATGTTTCCTTGTTTTTGTCACGAAGAACTCGAATCAGGCCTTGACCCATCTCACAACCTTCACACCCGTGCTGGTCTACTCGCACTAGTCGCGATGCTGGTGCAAGTGCGGGTGGGAGGATTGGCGTGGTGGTCCCCAACCTGTTCGTCTTGGGTATGGATGTCGCTTGGTAATACCCTGAGGGGTGTTGAAGCTCAGCTTTGGAATCAGTGTCAGACATTTTCCTTGTGCCCAATGTGTCCCAACATAGAAGCATAAATAAAGACATACATGCTAACCATCGAAACCCTTCAACGCGAGACATTTTTTTGACAGAATCAGGATCTGAGTGGAGAAGGTTCAGTGAAATCAGTGGTGGCAGGAAATGGGAAAGCTGAAGTGTTCTCCCGACTCATTCTGCCACTCCTAGTTATGCTTGGCATTATGGATGCTGGGGAGCAGCCGAGTACGTCCAAGTTGTTCAACTGGCCAGGACATTGGGCAGTGGGTAACTGGGATTGGTGCCGCTTGAAACTGGGGAAAAAAAGGGGCATTACTTGGTTTTTAGCAGGGTGTGAAGTGGGTTTTTATGAGCCAGCCTACCTATAACAATAAATGGACCAATCAACAGCTCACTTTGGCAGGCATCCATGCGCACATGAACGAGCTGATCCATTCTGGGTCTTACTTCCAGGGGTCAGTCCAACTGGGGGCATTTGGCAGTATTTCATGGAAAAGGTTGACCTTACGTGGCTCTTGGCCTGGGATTGGGTTGCTCACTATCTTGTACAAGATGCTGCTTCCTTTGACCAAGCAGAGAGAGTTTCAGAAACTCACCAAACAAAGCGGCAAGTGTTTGGGCTGCCTACATTTAGTTTTGGCCTTTGAAACTTGGTGAGCTGTAGCATGGGGCTTCCTATGACCTTGCAATTTATTGTGACTGTTCACCAAGGTAAAAGGTAGGGTTGTCGTTTGAACTTGGTTGGGTCACATGTCAACTGGTCAGGGGCTCATGAGTCAATGAGACTCAGGTGGCAGACATCCAACGAGTTCACGCAGTACTCAGCTCTTTATCCCGCCCTGTTTGGATTTGCAGTGGCCCATGCCTACAAGATTTCCAGACTTAGAGTCCAAGATCCTAGCGCTGTGCAAGCACTCCTTCGAGAGGTGACCACTCAAATTGTGCAAGACATGCCGTCAGAGGATGCAGTCATTGCGCAGGCTCAGGACCTGCTGTTTAGGAACATATTTATATGGGTTGCTAGGGACAAGCCTTCAAGTGTTTAAAAAACAATCCACACGCATGGCCCTCAGGACTTCTGCGCGAAGCTCAAGGGTTCAATAGATGAAGACCCAGGGTGGGATGATATTGATTCTTGGCTGTCACCCCAACTCGGAAAACAAAAGAGGTCGCAGATCTTGCGAGCCAAGCGTGAGGAAAGAGAGAAGGGTGAGGAAGCAAAGTCGACCAAAAAGAAATCCAATACTTTGATGAAGAAACGCCCAGGTGTCACCTCGAAAGTGAAACCAGTTGGAAAGGATACGACCACTGTCTTTGATCAGCTGATGAACCAAAAAACGAGGACAGTCTGTCCCAGAACCAAGTTCAATTTGTATAGGGGTTTGCTGGCTCGATATATGACATGGAAAAGAGTCACTCCCGAACCTCTACTTGCGCTATTGTTAGCTCGTATAAATTCAGGATCTTGCCATTGTCAAGATGTGCTTCAGCCAGTCTTTGGGATTTTCAATTTTGGCAGGACATCGGAAGATGATCATGGTGCAGTGGCTTCCCATTCGAAGCGATTCAAGGTTTTGCACTCAGCTGTTGTACCTGTTTTATAATTCCCCTGTTGTTCAAAATTTCCTAATTCCCTTCTTTTCCACAAAACTGACCGCACAAATCTGACGTGTCAGTTGTAATTTCCAAACTTACCATCGACACAGTTGCTTTCGGTGAGGCTTTGCGAGCAAGCTCTTCGTCAACAGTCGTTGATTTGGACCCTTGATGAGGCGAGGGCTGGGGCTAGAAAGAATACTGACAAAGAGGAGGTTCTCTGCACTTAATTTTCTGATGTTTCCAGGCGGACATTGCAGGAAAGACAGAATTCTTTTCCTCGAATCTGACCTGACCTGCTTTTTTTCAAATGGAAAATATGAAGCTATTCCGACATGCCTCTGCTGAAACGACTTGAAGGCCATTTGCATTCAATAATTTGGCGCTGCTAACACTTCTCGTTTGTACCTTCTCTCCAGGATAGTGGCGTGGGATATGCAATCATGCTGTGTTGTGACACAGCAGGGCCTTTTCGAGGCGCTCAGCTGGGTGGGATAGTTTTAAGAAGACTGCACGCTGCCTGTTTGCGAAGAGTGACAACCATTGTTCATGGCAAGCGCTTCTTCTTTGGTTGCTTTCAGTTCATGATGAAATCAAAACAGTGACAAATAAAATTAGGTTCTCACTGCTTTTGTTGGCAGGACTGGCAGTACATGGAATTGGAGGCAAGCTCCATGCTTCAGGTGGGGGTGTTTGCATGCAAACTGAAGGCCAGAAGTCACCCCATAGGAAAAACCATGTGGAATAATTGAGGGTGGAAGCTTGGCAGCTTGTGACACAGTCTTCACGCGGGCTTGTTTGAGAATACCCTGGTTGTCGCAGCTGCCACGCTCCTGGTGCAGGTGCTGCGGATGGTTTGTTTTCGCCAGTGAGTGGCTGGCAGCAGGCTGAACGGATTTTGAAGACACAACCATTCAGAACACAAATTGACACTTGTTCACTGTAAATTCATTGCTGCTTGAGCCTGCTTCGGACGTGACCTCATAGGGGTTCACCAGTTTCGTTAATTCACACATTAGGGTTCCAACCAGCTTGCCAATAGTCAAGAGTGTGGAGAAATCATGTGACCTGGGTTGCGAGAGATTTGTTTTTGTGATTTCATTGGCTTGGCCCGTGAAGGGTTAAAACAGTTTCACGCCGTGATTTTTTTTCAGCTTTGAAAGAAAGAAGAAATTGAATAAGAGGAAAATTCATGGACCCATTGCTTTCCTACTTCATCTTTCTTTTTGCGGTCATACCCTCAAGAGACCTCATGAGTTCGCTCATCTCACCTGCGCATCGCTGAAGATGGGCAAATCAAAATCATCTCAGAGGCGCCGGGATTCCAAAGGGAAGAAGACAAAGGAGCACGATAGAAAGAAGAGCAGGGAACCCAAGAGAAAATCCAAGAAGGACAAGAAAGTCCATAGTAGTTCATCATCTCGTTCACAGTCATCATCTTCAGAGGATAAGGATCTTGCAGAGACCCTCCAACTTGCATCAACTTTTGGCTTGTTACTTGATTGGGCTTGAGAAACGTGTTCTGTGAGAAAGTGTTTGGTTTCGGATAAATTTGCCACGAAACATTTTTGTATATGTCTTCGGCCAAGCAGTCTATCTGCCACTATCACACTGCCTCAGGAAGGAGAAGCAGCTCTACTTCACGAAGGCTGTCAGGAAGATCGCTGACATACCTTCGTATGTGCTTGCTGTGTCACTCGCGGGTATCGTGAAAGATCTGACTCCGCAGTCACTGTTTCGAACCGGTGGTGAGTTGTTTGAGGCCAGATAAGTCCTATTATGTTTGTTCCTCCCAAACTTGTATGTATATTTTTCACTTTCAAGAACTCTTCGAAGGACGAAGGACTTCTGAAGTGTCCTATACATAAAGAAACACCTCCATCCCTTCAGGTCAGAAAGCGGACCTTGCAGTCTGTTCGGCTGGATGGCTCACCTGATTCGTTGAAATTGCGTCTTGATCTGTCTCAGAAGCTGTCACTCGCTGAGCGTTTGTGGAGGGACAGACTCATTTGGCTACTGGATGAAGGCAAGAGGTTTTGGAGGAAAATGCTGGCACAGGATAGCCATGGAATAGGGAGTCTAGACTGATATAGCTCCTCGAGACATGTCTTGTTTATAGACGAATCCATCTCCTCGAGATTTTTCTTTCACAGACAAATCAATCAGTGAACTTGTCATGGTGTCTTTGTTGTTTCGCCTTGACAGTTGCGAACATGACGGACCTCTCTGTTTGCTCCCAGCACAGTTCGGTGATGAGTTTGAGGAGGAATGGGTGTGTCAACTCTTTGGATGCCATATCCAGCCAACATGTGGTTTTGAATGGTTTGCACCCTCACAGTGACGAGCTTCAACTCTTCCCATTTGTTGCTGTTGCTGCAGCAATCGTGAAGTTTGGTGGCCATAAAGTGGATTTGATGTATGAAACTTTGTTTTGAGAATTCAAAAATACATGTTAGCAGGGTTTGTTATTTAGCAAGCACATTCGCAGCAGGACCTTGAAAGAAGAGGTGGCCTTGAAGCTTGCAGATCCTTCTTGGCTCATCAAGGTGAAAAACCAACAGGAGATGTTTCAGAAGGATGCCGCGAAGGATTTGAAAAAGGACCAGGTGGACACTGAGAGAATGTCTGTGCCGTTACTAGATACCCGTCGTACTGGAAAAGGCAAGGAGAAAGAGCGCAGTGACAAGAGACATTCAGATGAGCGTAGAGTGAAGAAACCCAAGCGAGATGAATCAGATGATGATGAGGCCATCCACAGACAGTGGCTTTTGTATTCATTGCTTCTGTAACGTAGGCAGGTTCTAAACAACTTACTTTCTTCGAGTGATCCCCACCCTGACACACTATCTATATATATATTATTATATATATTTATTTATTTATTTATTTATTTATTTATTCGGACATATTTTCTGAAAGACTTTTGGGAAACATATATTATATTGTCGAGAGAGAGATATATATATATATTCTGACATTCTTTCTGGCAAATATTCGGACATTGTATCTGAGATTCTTTCTGGCGTATATCTTAGAATATCTCTGGCACATCTTGTGACATTCTTTCTGGCATTCTATCTAATATATCTTCGGGGACCATTCTTTGTGGTTGAGGTCTGGCGGGGATCTCTCTGATCCTGGGCTTGCTGTTCGGGTGTGGCAAAGACCACTGCGATCTTGCGTGAGGTCCGGCGGGGTCCACTCTGATCGTGGGCTTGCTGTTCGGGTCTGGCGGGGACCACTGCGATCGAGTGCTTGCAGTGAGGTCTGGCGGGGACCACTCTGATCCTGGGTTTGCTGTTCGGGCCCGGCGGGGACCACTGCGATCTAGCGCTTGCTGCTGAGGTTTGGCGGGGGCGGAGGAGCAGGGGCGGGAGGCGGGACAGCTGACTTAAAATCTGACAACCCTCACCTGACAGGTGGGAAAAAAGGATTATATGCTGCATGCGAACCAATCACAACTTTTTGGCAGTGGCCACGATTTTGTTGTTTACGTTGCTGTGGAGGCTTCCTCACGTGAAAGTGGTGGTGACTTTGGTAAACATGCTGTTGCCAAGGCTCGCCGGGAGTCATTGGACAAGATTGCAGGGTACAAGGATCTTGATTTGTTGACAGGTCGGTTTCAGAAACGTTCCAGTGGAAAGGAGCGGACTAGCAGCACCCGGGGATCTACAGCCAATGACGCAGATGGACAAGAGGCAGCTGAGGAATCTCTCAAGAAGTTCCTTCAGAAGGATTTGGTCAAATTCTTCGCTAGCAAGAATGATTCCTGCCTTTTTTTGAAAGTGCTGGCGGCTGACGGAATGGTTTCTTGATGTGATGGGCTCTCGACGGAGGATTTTTTCAGTTTTTTGTTGTAACAAGAAACTGAAACATTCTTTTGGGATGCAGTGCGTGAATTGGAAAAGCGATAGTCTGTTCCTTGTTTACTCAGGTTTCTGCTGGAAACTTCGCCGATGCCTTGGATGAGGGCTGGAAGCCTGATGCTACATGTCTTGGGGCCGAAAGCCTAGAGTACTTACAAATGATGTCGTGGGTGGGAAGGAGATCAGCAGTGAAGTTGGTGCAGCATCTAGCCAATCGCAAGGACTGGTTTCCAGTAGGATTTTTCGAGGTCAATAAATTCAGCTTAATTTTGGCACATCATGGTCAAGTAATGACACTCAAAGAGCATAGGTCACGAACGAAAACTGTTTCCTAGACTTTGCGATGTAACCCGATGTTGTTGACTCATGGTGTCTCGCACTGATTTGCTAACACTGTGGTGCGGATTGGCAGGGTCATTCTCTTTTATTCCCTCGCAGTATGACATCAACCCCTGTGGCCTGCTGGCTCAACATCATTGCACAGGCTGAGAAGAGCGACTCAGAGGACGCAGATCGAAAGGACGAGAACAACGAGTCAGACGACTCAGGCAACCACACCGAGCCACCTAAGGACAAGAAGACCTGGGCTTGCGACAAGTTGCCTCCGCTGGAGGATGATGACCGTGAGTCGTCTCTGTGATAAGCGGACCCGTGACAGTAAGATGTTTTGGACATCCACCCAATCCAGCTTTTGTCTAAGACCCCTAGACCTTGACTCGAGAGTTTTCAGACAAAAGTGCATGATATCACTTGATATCAAACTTGAAGGCCAATACTAAAATGATTGCTTCTCATGTGAAGGCATGGGGCCAATGTCACCCGTACCCCGGTTGGAAGAAGTAGGAAATGACTGCGTGATGTGTGCCATGGACACAGACAGTTCGCAGCCTTTGAAATTTACAAATGGACTACTGTCAACTTCATGTGTTTGGAAAGCAGTGGCACGCGCACATACCTGCAGCCAGGGTATGTTTTGAGACAGTGGGTGCCAACGTCTGGTACAAAAGGGCTTGAGGTTGCCCGCGGCTGGTCATCTCGAATCTTTCCTAGAAACATCCAATGACTGATATGCCCTGTCCCTTACATTATTCTATCTTGGGTTGCTTCCAAAACCTCCGAAACAGGAATCCAATCAACTACCTTTTGCACCAAAGCCATTTTAGCTGAGCAACGTGTTTGATCTGCAGTTGTGAACTATTAATAGCAGCAATGTCGTTGACCGATGAAGAGTTCTGGTCTAGGCAGAACTCCCAGTTGGAATGGGGGCCTGGAGTATACGGACCAATGACCATGAAGTTGCACATGCGCCGATGGCGCTACGAAGAGCTGTATCCTCACCTGAACCTTAGGCGGCCTGACCAGGCCAGGAATGATTGAGGACATGACCTCGACGTTTCCAGGGCTGGTTGTTTCTGTGTTACTACATGCATGTCGTGCATGCTTCTGGTGAGATTATGTTTCCCTTGTGAAACAATTCTGCAATGCTCATTGGCCAGGATCGACTTGCGCTTCAGTCCATGGGTGACATCGGTGCACAAGAGCCTGCTGTGGCAGACCAGCAGCAGGCTCTGTTGGCATGCTTTGGGGTTCTGATGGCATGCTTTGGGGTTCTGATGGCCAGGATAATTTCGGGATTTCACAAAGCCTACTTGCGATCCATGAGTTTTGGAAACATGGGTTTCTTGTGCATTCAAGAGCTCAAGCCATTGGCAAGCTGTGTTTTTCATTGCCTGGTCTAGCCATGACAAGCACCAATGTTTCAGATGGTGATGTGTCGGCTTCAGAGCTGCAATCCATGTTTCGTTGTTGGACATCCCGGGACAATTCCAAAGCCACGACCATTCTTGTCCTGGCGGTGTTCACTGGCATCAGCAACTTTGTGGACCAGTTTCCGGAGACGATTCGTGCAAAACTTCCAGCTACCTTGGCAGTCCTGTCTGCGGCTAAGTTCGCGGTCTGCGACAGTCTTGGCCGCGCATGCTGTGGTGTTATCGAATTGCCCCAGCGACCAGTGCGCGGGCCAATGGAAGACCACCAGTGGATCCATCCTCAAGTGACTGCATGGCTGATGGAGGAACATGATGGCACCAGGCATATGATGCTGGCTTGGTGGTTGGATCAAAAGTGTGACGTTGGGCTTTCCATTGAGTTGTCACTGCATGCCGCTTTGGACTTAATAGACGGGAGCCCATCTTTTCCACAGAAAGACTGTTTGCATCGTTGGCTGCAGCAGCTAATGGATGAATGTTTGCTCCCCAGGTGCGCGTTCGATTGGCCACCTGAGTAGTTGGATGATGAATGTAGATCGAGGGGCGCTCTTGCAGCTCATGGTTTTTAGCGACCGACGTGTGGCATTAAAGCGAAAAGAGTGCAATCGCTTCTTTTGTCTAGGAGCAGAAGGTGTTCAACCCTGCCTTCTTGGTTTTAAATCCTACTTTGTAGCTTCTTCGGGTGCTTGTGCCAGGTGACAGCCACCATCGACTTGACAGACGAGGATTCCAGCCAAGATTCTACTTCCGCTGCTGCAGATGCCCCGGCTGCTTCGGGGAGCTCAGACAAACCGACTTCTGAAGAAGTGAAGGATATGTAGATGAGATTTCTTTGTTGCTTCGCGATCTAGCAGGCAATTTAAATCGAGGTGTTTTCAGGTCTTTCGTTTTGAAAGGCCAATTCGGAGTTGCAATGAGTCTAAACTATCACATGCATCGAGTATCATTTGACACTGATGCAAAAATTGCAGACGAGATCGGGTCAAAACAAGAGTCTTGATTTGGTTGCTGATCTCTCTTGTGTTTGGTAGGGATCAACGTTCAAAACCTGAGGCTGCTTTTCTAATGACTTTGGTAGGCTCCCAAAATATTAAAACGCAAATCTACTATTAGCTAAATTTAGGAGCTATAGGAAAGTAAATCAAAAAGAAGTTGGCTGGCCTAAAAAAAATACTTACTATAGACTGCAGTCTTTCTACTTCTGCGTTTCTCATTTTTTAATGCTTCCTATTTCTTGAATTATAGCCAGTGAACAAATTTACTTTATGAAGCCGAAAGCAAAATCTGACTAGTCACCATTTCCCTTGTTCACCTACCACAACACTATATCGTTATCCTGCTGTCAGTCGTTCTCCTGCCAACAGTCGATCTTCTGCCAACAGTCGTTATTCTGCTGACTAATATCCTTCTTCTGCCGAGAATAGTTCTTCTATCGAGAAGCGTTCTTTTGCCGATAATCGTTCTTCTGCCGAGAATCGTTCTTCTGACACGAATCGTTCTTCTGCCGAGAATCGTTCTTCTGACACGAATCGTTCTTCTGCCGAGAATCGTTCTTCTGACACGAATCGTTCTTCTGCCGAGAATCGTTCTTCTGCCGAGAATCGTTCTTCTACCGGGGATCGTTCTTCTGCCTACATAGTTGAATTGGAAATGAAAAGTCTAGATTTATCAGAAGTAGGGAAATCGAGAAGAATGTGGGATTAAGGAATTTGTTGCTAAAAACTGCAGTAAATCACTATGACTCCAAGCATCGTTCTTCTGGCATGAATCGTTCTTCTGGTTTGTTTTGCTACAGGTTTGGCATATCAGAAGGGGTGTAAGCAGGCTAAGTGTATCAGGGTTTACATGCAGCTTCCCAGAATCGTTCTTCTGCCGAGAATCGTTCTTCTGCCGAGAATCGTTCTTCTGCCGAGAATCGTTCTTCTGCCGAGAATCGTTCTTCTGCCATCAATCGTTCTTCTGCCATCAATCGTTCTTCTGCCATCAATCGTCCTTCTGACAAGAATCGTTTTTCACAGTTCTGACAAGAATCGTTCTTCTGCCATTACTCGGTTGCTGATGGTTTCGTAATGGTTTTATAGCTGGCACACATAGGCACTCATACCAAGAGTAATGCTTAAATTTTCACTTTTGCTAGTTAAATCTTCTATAGGACCTAGGAGCTAGGAATGGAAAATTTGGAATGCACTTGCCTACCAAAAAAGTTGCTATACGCGTTTCTTGCGTTTTTTTTTGCGTTTTTATTTGTCCCCTTGTTTGGCTATATTGTAAACATGTAAAACGTTGCAATTACTTTCTTCGAGTGATCCCCACCCTGACACACATAGTTTCTGACATACCACCTGGAAGTATATATGGCATATATATATATATTTTTCTGACATTCTATCTGACATTCTTTCTAGCATATCCTCTGACATTCTATCTGATATTCTTTCTGGCAAATAGTCTCTGGCATATCTTCTGACATTCTTTCCGGCATTCTACCTGGTACTGTATATCTTTGGGAATTCTTTGTGGTTGATGTCTGGGGGGGATCACTCTGATCCGGGTCTTTCTGCTGGGTGCGGCGGGGACCACTGCGATCTAGTGCTTGCAGTTTAGGTCCAGCAGGGACCAGTCTTAGCCAGGGCTTGCTGTTCCGGCGCGACGGGGACCACTGCAATCTAGCGTGTGCAGTGTGGATTCCGCGGGGACCACTCTGATCCTGGGCTTGCTGTTCGGGCCCGACAGGGTCCAATGCGATCAAGCGCTTGCAGTTGCGATCTGGCGGAGGTGGAGGAGCAGGAGGAGGAGGAGGAGGAGGCGAGAAGCCAGACAGCTGACATCAAACCTAACAACCCTCACCTGACAGGTGGAGACCTAAAGTAAATCATCAGACCAGTATAATTAGAAGTGCAGCCTCGGGGAATTGCTCTTCTGACGACAGTCGTTCGTCTAGAGATCAACGCTGTGAATGGGTGTATTTTCAAATCTCAAGCGTTCTTTTTGCCTTCAGCGGGGAAAGCTGGGGGCCTCTTCGGTCCTTTTGGCCATGGATCCTGAAGGGGTTCTTGTTGTTTCGGGGGCAGAGCAAAAGGCTCCCAATCATGGAGCTTCTTCTGACCTTTGCAATGAGGCCAGCACAGAATAGGGCATGTAGGGGTGTCTGCAGTGGACATTTGTGGACTGCTGAATCACGCACATTCACATCAGCTCCGAGCCAAGTAGGAGAATACATGTACAAGTTAGATGATACCAGCTGTCTTTCTTGTAGACCTCATTGTCGGTTGACTCCATTCACACTGACCTTTCGTGACCTTTCTTAACATTTTCAATTGTCTGGTAAAGGCCTGGAAAGACAAGGTGGAAGCATTGGTGCGTGAGATTCCAGAGGTGCTTGGAGAAGACCCAGAGGAGGAAAGGCATCGAGATCTTGCAATTGAGAAGGTGCGTGATGCCATTGCTGACAGGTGGGTGGCAGTGCGAAACATTGCCGCTCATTCACATGCTTCCCAGTATGAGGAACTTGTCCAGGCGACCAAGACCATTCTAGCGCAATTGGTTTCAGCCTATGGCGCAGAGATCCACTTTGCCCCTTTTGCAGATGTAGGCCGTCCTTTGCCAAGTCCACCCAATGCTCATGCTGGGGAGATAGAAGGTGTGCCTCATGGAGACAATGATGAAGGTGAAACTACCAGCAGTCAGGTGTCATCGGTTTCACTGGTGCCGCATGAGTTCAGGTATCTCACGACCAAGGCTGGTGTATGGACATGTCTAGTGGTTCCTTGAAAGCAGAAATGGGTTACGCAATGATCAGATGTTAATGGGCTAAAGAAGCCTCTTTGATGAGCCTCCAACCCTTTACAGTTGCACCTTCCCATTGGACCACACCCTTTCCTGCAGAAAGTATAACCGTTGCATCGACCAAGGCAACTAGATTAAATTCCCATGCTTTTTCCTTAGCCCTGTGGCAGCTGACCTTTGCCTTTCCGGAATGAGTTTAAGGTTGAAGAAGAGGCATGTGCTGTGGACGGGTACAAGAGCTACATAGCGTTGGCAGAAGTCTATCAGCTGCGGACTCCTTTCACCCAATGGTTTACCAAGAACTATTGTGGAGTGTACATGCCACTGGCCGAAGAGTTGGGAATGGACACTGAAAGACATGCCCCTTGATATCGTATGTAAGAAAAAGCTGTTATTTTTTTCCGAAAACCCAGCTCCCCAGACAGCCTTTGACTCGGGTCATGCAGGGTTGCTTGTCTTCTCAGGTTGCTCGCCGACCCAGCTACAAGGGAGCAGCATCTACGAAAGTCCATTTGCCGATGGATTCTGCCACTGTGATCGGTCTAGTTGCCATCTTTGGGTCGATTTTGCCAGCCCAAGGGTTGACACCGTCGGCTTTGAAAACGTGCACGACCTGTTTCGATGCTCTTCAATCTGTCGCCTGCATCTCACAGAACTTGGTCCTTATCCCCGAGCTTCCGCGGATGATTCTTCCCGTCGAGAAAAACAAAGTGAAGATGTCTGCGCTGAGATCAGCTCTAAAGACATTGGACCTGAAGCCTGACAGGCCTGTGATTCAAACTCCATTCTTACGTGAATGCATTACTCGGTTTCAGGTTCAAACCATCCAGGCAAGTAAGCAGGTGCAATGTGCTGCCCGGTTTGTCTGCGTTATTGTTTTGATGCTGCATTCATTTCCCCTGACTTCAATTTTGGCTGGTCCGAGTCATTCTCCACTCATGCAGGCTGCTCAGAAAGCTACCTGAAGATGAGACAGACAAGTCGGTCAGTTTCAGCCACTTGCTGATTGCTTTGTTTCGGGCCCGCGGTGAGAAGTTCTACTCTCAGAGCCAGATGCTGATGCGTGTTCTTCGAAGGCTTGTGCACATTTTCTGCCAGTCTGTGGAAATGGCCATGGAAAAGGTCATGACTTCCATATGTCCCAAAAAATCTCCAGGCCAACAGGCTGAGGGAAACGCCCATCCTCACAGCAAGGCTTCCAGGCTTCGAGGAAACAAGTCATTGCAGATGGCATTGGTTGAACAATTCCAAACCAAATCCACTGGATTTGTGACAGCAAAGCACATGTCGCTGCATGAGATGGGGGTGAAAGATGGCCGATCATTTGGATCACGAACAACGGCTGAGTACTGTTGCAGGTTGTTGGCGAGAAATGTGGAATTTTTCACAAAATACTCTGAAACGTGTGACTGGAAGACTTTGAATCTATGCTTCGACATGGCCAGTGTCAGTCATGAGTCTGTACTTCAATCAGAATTTAGCAACATGTTTTTTTTGCTTCGATCAAGTGACATGCTGGGCTAGGTAAAGTTAGTCCTTTGCTGCTTTGATATCCTCTTTTTCTCTTGCTGCTTCCTGAGGTACTGAGCCTTGTCTTCCGCATGGACTCGCATCAGTGGGCCGGCCCCACCCAGGTGCTTCCGTTCGGACCGACAGCTGAACAAGCTGCAAAGGCCCTCGAATCTTTGCGGAGCTACTTGGGTGGCCGAATCCCTTCAAAGCCAGTGAGCCAGATCGCAGCTAGCCTGGATGCTTTCAAGTGGAAGGAGTACCGCGCTTCAACAAAAAATCTCTTGGTTGCCCTTGCCAACTCGATCCAGCAGGCGATGCCAAAAGGTTTTTCCTTGAAGAGCTGCGTTCCGCCCAATCCCCTGCTACCAATGAAGCCCACAGAGACCAGGGCCAAACTCACCGAGAAGGAGAAAAGGGCAATGGGCCTTGAAGGGGAGCAGATGGACCGTTCCTTGTACTTTGTCTTTGACCACAAGTCATTCGATGCCAGAACGGATTGGTACCAGAATGATTCCTTTTGGCATTTGACATTCAGCGCAGATGAGGGAACAGAGGCAAGGGCTGTGAAAGCCAAGACTTGTTGTATCGCATGTGTCTTGTTTCCGGTTGGCCACATACAGGTTGGCAGGCCATGTCCCTGACCATCCTGTTAATCATATAGTCTCTCTCCCTGCCTGCGGCAGGGTTTTCTGGTGTTCTTGCACTTGGCAGCGCAGCAGCTGTGGACGATCATTTGGCCGGACCAATTTCACAAGGTGTCTCGAAAGACTAGTTTGGCCATTACTTTAGCACCAGGCGGTCAGGCTCTCTTGCGCAGGATCAGTCGCCTTTTCAGAGCCCTGCGTGGCCCATGGCATACGTGCAAGTTCGGGAAGATCATTCTCGAAGCGAGACAGCACTTGGTTCGTGAGGTGGAGGCGGGTAACGAAGCAGCTTGCGAGTTAGTGGACCTCTATTTGCCTTCAATTTGCCGTGACCTCAGCATTGACCCGGACATTGGCACCAGGGCACATGTACTGGACATTTTGAAGAGAAAGGGAGGCAAGGTTGTTGGGGAGAATGCGACAAGATTTTGTGATCATGTCTTGTGGAGCATGACGATGACTTTTGTGCTCCCTTCCAATGTTGATGCAGCCTGAGTTTGTGACAAGATTGTTTGTGTGTAATAAGAACATCTCGCAGTGAACAATGCGTACCTGCTTGTCTGGATTTGCAGTTCAATGCAGCTGTCGGGGATACATTGATGCTGATATGGATTGATGATGGGGGGGTGTCAAGATGATGATGATGATGATGGTGATGATGATGATGATGATGTTGATGATGATGATGTTGATGATGATAGTGACGACAACAGAAGTATGTTGAGGACTTTTATTGCTAGTGTGATGGTACCCGTGGGCTACAAGGATGCTGTGATGCTGATTGTGAGGTTGATGATGATGATGGCGGTTATGACGGATGACGATGATGATGATGATGATGACGACGACGACGATGATGATGGTGGCTGTTCGTGATGCTGAATTTGGTGGGAGGGATGCTAGATGGCTGCTGGGTTTGCTTTTGCTGCTGCTGGGATTATGACTTCGGGGATTTTAAACGGCAAGGGGATTTTGATGATAATAGGTGTATTCATGGTACTGGTGGTGCTTGTGGCGGAAGCAAATTAATAACAATGATCTGAACGAAGGTGATGACTGGCATGATGGCAGTGATGATGACCATGATTCTCATGGTGGTGATGATGACGATGACGATGACAAGGATGCTGACGTTGATGTTGATGCTGTTGTTGATGTTGGTGCCGATGATCGTATAGGAGCACAAGTTGATAAGTCGCTTAATCAGGCAGCCTGATTGAACATTTGCAAACAGGAGAACTGCAGGTACTTCACTGGATATCCCCTGTTGGCTGGCACTTGCATCGCCAACAGCCACCACTGTTCAGAGACCGAAAAATTTCGTTGCGCAGTGTTCACACAACTGCACATGGCGGTGGCAGAAGTTTTTTGTCGAGAACACATGCATAAATAGCGACTAGAAGGATGGGATAGATTTAATTACATTAGCAGAAATAGCGACTAGAAGAATGTAGACTCATAGCTGATGCAGCATGCTGTGGTGAATTGTGGCCCCTGACACCATCAGTGCGCACGATGTTTCAGTAAAGATCTTACGTCGATTTCGTGCAGAGCACAGCTGCCCACATCGTGATGTTTTTAAAACAGGCGTGCTGTGTGCCGTCTTGCTCTTGGTTTATCTGTCCTGTTTATCTAGCATCACCGTCGCTGGTAAGTGTCTTCATTGGCCGGAGACTTGCCATGCCCCCTGCCCCTCAGAATTTATTGGCACTGCATGTAATTAGCAGTTTACACACAAATTGCTCTAATCAACGGTCAACAGGTTGGCTTCTTTTTGTACTCAGCTGCTGAAGGTATTTTTGAAAAAATAGCGGCTGCAACCTTTGCATGGTCAGTCTGTATGGCGGACATGACTTTGATTTTGGATAGAAGCACGTGGGCACAAAGAAAAAGCATTGACGACATACTATATCGGTTGTATTTGTTTTGCCCGAATTGTTGGGGAGACCATTTTCGAGAAAGCATTGATTGAGAGTTGAACTTGCAGAGCCCTGCTAGGTTCGATGCACATCGTGGGCACAGAACACAAGGATTCCCGGTGGTGGTCTTTTTTTGACCACGGTTCCGCGTGGGATCAACGGTGGCACTTGGAGCAGCTCACCCACAGCTATGCTTTTTGGCTTGAGGGAAAGTCCCCATGGAACCTGACCCCTTACAATGAGGAAACGGGCGGAGAACCAACTGACACCAATTCCCTAAGGCAAGCAGCCTGGAATGCGCCTCGCTCATCAAATCATCCATAAGCGTTGATGCGGTAGGGTTTTAGGCCCCCTTCAATTTGCTGGTCATGATTTTCACAGGGCCTATTATACTTCATGGAATGTATGCTTCGCGTGGGAGCTACGTGTTTTTCCCTTGGGAGATGCTCTTCGAACATTGTCTTAGAAGCATGTGTGTTTGTACTTTCCAGACGTTGAATCCAGCAGGTGCTGGCAGATGACCAGAACCAAGACCAAATGCGCAGCTTCCTTGTCGTGTTTGGACCATATCGGAAATGGACCAGCGAGATGGCAGCTTTGGTTTTCGCATAAAGGTTGTTCTTTTTCCTTGCTTAATTTGGGTGGTGATTTCTCTCTGAAATACACCTTTTGCTCTTGATCCAGTCCTTGTCATCTGGCTAAGAACCATGATATGCAGTCGATGCCTGATGCGAGTTTGAAGCACACACTTTCCTTGGCCACTGGGCTCCGCATTCATCGTCTTATGGAGAAGCTCGGCCCTTCTTTCCTGGATTATCCCCATGACAAATCTTTGTCAGAGATGAATGTTCTAGAATAATTTCATCCACAGTTGCAGTTCTAGTTGCATGCCTCTCAGTGTGCGTTAGTTAGTTTACGGAGCATGAGCGTCTATGCCAAGGAAGACATTGCAGTTGAGCCGCTCCCCGGACACCCTGGAGTACATCAATGGATCAGGAGATGACACAGAACACGAGGAAAACAGGCAATTTCATGTGGCATTGATGCTTGGACAAATGCGTGCTTTGTGGGAGACCAACACCTACCACCTGGCATACCCATGGCATGTCATCGTTGCCTTGGACGCTAGGAAGGTGCAAGAGCTGCTGGCACACATGAAGACCACTTGGGCATTTGTCAGGGAGGTGATCGACACGATTCCGTTGACACACCCCATGGGCAAAGCATTCTTCTTTGTGAGGCACCAGGCATTTCGAGATGTCATGGTGAAAGCTGAGCAACTTGCTCTGAGCATTGGTCACAAGTTTTGTACATGGTAGCAGTAGGCCCACCCTTTTAGAGGAGAGAGGAACAACGACTTTTTTACCATCCAACATTTTTTGTTTTCGCATAATTTTGAGGAACTTCGACTTCGACCCCTGCCAGTTCCATGCGCCTGCTGCAGCTGGTTTTCGAAATGTCATTCGCAGTGTCGGTGGGCTGACCAACGCAAAAGCAGATGGACTTCTGAGCTCACTTCCGAGCGAGCTTGCCTTCAATGACTTGCGTGACGCGTCCAAGCGTTCGCGCAAGAGTCAGCAAGTGCAGCCAGAGGATTTGCACGCTGTTGCTTCCAAGTCAAGTGTGCGAAGGAATATGGGCTGCAGCTCGCTGGATGTGATGGATTCTGATTGGGGGCCGCCAATGGACCGGAGATCCATCAAAACATCCGTCTTCAATGGCTTTCGCCAGACTGATTGCAGTCTTGGCATCACATCAGAAGGTTTGACAAAGCGTCGTGTCAATCATGTGCTGACAAAGCCTCACATTTTCTGCCAGAGGTTGGAAATCTTCGAGGCATTGCTTCAGAAGTGGGAAGGGTTGCAGGATCTCTCTGAGGACGACAGGGTCAAGGCAATCATGGATTCTTTCCGTGATGGATGGGTGGCAGATCTGGTTCCGGTGCACTGGTGCGTGGGCTTTTTGGATGAAGAGCATTCCATCACAAAGAACTATGCCATCGTGATCAGGGCAGGTCCACACCATTTGCTTTGCATGTGGCTGAAACCTTTGGGTTTGGGTGTTTACACCTTGCTTCATGACTCCAGCACCCGACCTTTCCGATTGCTCGTGAATGATTTCCAGAAGCTGAAGGTATGTCAGGCAGTTCCGGCAGTGGGGTCGAACGGCTCGTTGGTGTGGAAACTTCAAGTTTTCATGGAACTCAAGGACTACCTTGCAGACTATGCCATGCTGGATATCAGTGCCGCCAACCTGTCGAAAGTTTGCACTGCCATGAAGTTGCGTGGCCACTCCAAGCTAAGTCACAAGCATCGGGTGGAGTTGTTTCTCAAAGAGATGGGCCGACCAGATGATTTCATTCAGGAGATCCTGGCATCCTTGCCCGACAAGCCCCAGAGACAGAAAGCAGATGCAGAATCGCAGGACCCTGGACCCTATGCTCCATTTGCATTCCCATTTTTAAAAAAACATGTAACATGCCAGCTTAAGTAACAACAAAGCTGAATCTCGCGGTGAAATTCATATGTCGTCATCATGATTTGCAATCCATCCTGTTCAGGAGGATGGTGAGTGTCCTGATGGTGAAGACGAAGATGTGCTGGGTGACTCTCCTAACCCGGAGGGAGAGGAAGAGACCATAGAGCTCCTGCAGGTGCCAGTGGAAGCCAATCAGGTAGAGAACAAGCAGGAGGAAGACGTTCACATGGATGAGCCAGTTGAACCACGAAAGGCTGGGAATGGGGCTTGGGGTATTGTGTTGAAGCAGGCAGCAAATATTCCTTCTTGGGGTGCAGTGCACATGCATGCATTTCGATGCTTTTTAGAGATTATTTTTCCCATGCTTTTCATTCGTTCATGTTGCGGTGTGACACTGACTGCCCACAGGAACGAGAAGATGGGGCACATGCACCTCCAGGCGTTGGGCCCAACCGAGGAAAGTTTGAGACATCAGACTTGCCTCCTGGTTGCACCGCCAACTTTGGCGAGCCGAAGTCAGCTTCGCCCTTCATTCAGGTTCATCTTCCTCTTGGCATGAAGTTCAATGGTCGTAGGTCCAAGTCCTCTAGTTTTTCAGAGGGTGCCCACGCTGGTTTGCGCTGCACAGCCCGCACCAAAGATGCGGCAATTCGCAGCGCTTTGGCATGGGCGTGGGAGTGGTACCAAAGTTTGACGTGTTCAGAGCAAGCAGCTGTGAAAGCTGCAGCTGCTGATGCTGCCGAACGGCAGCCCAAGCGTCCACGTGTTAGCTAGACAGATGACAAACGCAAAACTGATCCACACGGGGTTTCGTGGAAAATGATTTTGCCATTCAGATGGCTTGCTGGGGGCTTGCGGGGTGTGTGCAGCAGGTTTGTGACTTGTGTGCGACAAGTTGCATTGATTCATGTGGGCCTACAGATGTTTACAGCGATGGACATTGGGTGTGCAGGTGATCCTTTTATGTTTGTTCACTTTTGCTCTAAAACGAATAGAAGTAGGATTAGCTATTGAGAATGGGGAAGTCTGGCTTAGAGGTATAGATGGCCCATTGAAATAGATGGTTTACCGTTCTAAAAAATGGTGATTTTCCATGGCTATGTTAAATAACCAGATGGTAAATGAAGATGATACTGGTAAACTATAATCATCTATAATCTATAGGATCTATAGGTGTGCCTGAAGAATGGTGATGATAATGGGGATAATAAGGAATAATGGGGATGAATACTGGTGGTATAATGGGCAAAATGAATAAACATGATAGATGTACTGGGCTGGGATGGCATGTGATGTGGGATTCCAGGGGATATTTTACGGCTGGCTACTAGTATATTTGTTTTAGAACTGAGAAGTTGTAAAACAATGTTTTTTTACCATCAGAATCCAAGCCCTGAATATAGTGGTACAGTGAAGATACAATGGATGATATAATGAGATTTGGGTGTGATTAACTCCCCCAAATGCTTACTTTCACGGGATAATTATGATAAGTTAGCAAATTGTTTGATCCTCTAGTTTCAGACAAACCCAGATGGACCATGGATGCAATTGTGAAAGATTGGCATGGACGTGATTCAGAAAGTGGCTGACTGGATACATACGGCCGTACCTGTATGTGTTTACATTGTACTATTGTACCTATCAATACAATAATGTAAAGCAACAAGTATGTGTCATATAATTTATGTTCAATTATATCACGGAAATTTCATCATCCCAACTGACGAACTCATATTTTTCAGAGGGGTGGCTCAACCACCAACCAGATATTAAATTATATGGATACTGAATATTTGGGCATAATCTTAGTGGGCAATCCATGCTGAACCATTGGCCTGGAACAAAAAGAGTCCGACAGTCCCAGGGAGGTCAGAAAGTTGCTGAACATCTGGGATACATGATTTCATCATATTTCATCTGTGGAACCGCATTTTTTTGATGTACAGAAATTACTATGAAGGGAAAAAAAATAGCGTATATCAGTGAAGAACCAATTTGGTCTGAACCACACTCATTGCATTGGGATGATATCATATCATATATAATTATATAATCATATATGTATATACAGTAAAAACACATACAGTTGAGGTGATTCAAACAAGAGCAATACAAGATGCACCCCCCAAGATTGAACAAGAAGCACCCAAGAAGCACCAGCGAGAGGGATGAACATGGGAACCAACTCCAATGTCTTGGTGGTGGCCCTTCAACGCGAAGCAGAAATCATGATATGTGAGGATCATGTGCATCACCAAATGTCAAACCCTGGATGAAGAACCCCCAAACGGCTGTCTTTTTTTATGGAAGCATCGAATTATCTAAAAAACAATCGCTGGGGACTTGGGGGCTACCCCCCTAATTACTATAGACAATAGTTGGGGTTTTAATTACCAGAGATATTGGGGAATGGCCTCCTCGAAGCCAGGTCATCATCGATGTGCACGTTGGTGCGGATGCTGGCGCTCTGGGCTTTTTCCCCAAACATTGGCCGCCGGGACCGGTGGTGGTTGGCGCAGTCCTTCCCAAGAAGATTGCAGATGAGCACGGAGTGAAAGAAGGAGCAGTTTGGGGGTTCATGGCGCTGGATGATTCATATGATTCTCAGGTGGGGATGATAAATTTACTTTTTTGTTGAAGAACGATTCGTTCAAGGTATAGTATACCATGATGATACAGTAATGTACTATATAGATATTTAATGGTGGGATCTTTACACCATTGCGATTCTCAGGGTGTTGGCTTGGGATGGTCTTTCCAGGATCCTCCATTGTCCTGAAGAGCCCAGTTTCCAGTTGTATAAGCTGCACCAGACATTTTCTTGGCCAACATGATGCCATATTGAATGACACTGTTTCATTGTTACATCATATGGGAATGGGGCAAAATTTAGGCTATCCCAAAACGAGATACCGTTCAGTACAAGAAGTGGATTTTTTTTTAATATTTGGGGGTCCATTTGGTTTTGAATGTTGGCCCATACTGATACCCATATGTGCCATGGTCAAACCTTGGGTTACAAATTTTTGGTCACTGCCCCTATTTCTGATGACATATTTGGTATGTGTCTTCAGGGAGCAAATTTGGGCAAAGCACTTGTTTTATGGGCCGGGCTTTTGCAATGGCCAGAGAACTATGAGGAAGCTGACAAAAATGATTGGGGTATGAGTTGGCTTGAACTGATTTTCAATTTTTACATTGTTACGGGCCATAACCTTCCTATCCGTTTGGAGGGCTATGGGGCCAAGTCTGTGTACATTCCTTACCACAGTTCGCAGGCAATTTTGCTCCCCAAATCGAAAAGGGCGGCTTCTTTGCAGATTCTCACTTTTCGAAATCTTCTTCAGAATATGCAATCAATTGAGTCCCAAATTTTTTTCCCTTCGTTCAAGGAGTCAAAGTGTAAATCATTACAGAGACTTGGACATGTCTGCCCCGTTGCTGGGGTACCAAGAAGACCTATTATTCCTCGACAAGCGGAGACAATCGTTGCGGTCCAACGATACATTCAATCCCTCCAATCTTCCGCGGCTTTGCATCAGGTGATTTACATCAAAGATATCCAACCGTCTCTCAACTTCCAAGCAATCGAAGAACCTTCCACTTACACAAGATTCAACCGATATTCCCAATTTATGAAGAAATTGAGAAAGACACGGCAGTAATTCGTAATTGTATTTGCACGTTTTGCTAGTACCATTGATAGTTTCTACTTCGTACTGCCCGCCACCTGCGCTTGGGGGTATGGAGTGTGGACCATTCTGGATCCGCGTGTCTGCTGTCAAACCTTGGGTTATCTATACCTAGATTGGGGGATCTATACCAGCAATAGGAAGCACACAACCACTACCATTACTATATAAAAGGAATACCATGTTTTGACACATACACAGATGAACCCTTAATATACCTTTGTTGATGGATTAAATATACATTGTGGGTTATGCGAAGTTGTTTATTGAGGATTATGAACCGACCCATAGGAATATGTACTAACCAACCAGTATAATGAGAAGGGAAAACGGAATATAACTTCATGGTTCATTTATGCTTATTGAATCGTATTGATAATTTCTCATTGACCTTCACTATTCATTAAGATTAATATTTATGTATTCCATCCTAGTATCCAAAAACTGCCATTAACGATTATTAACTATCATTAACTATCACATAATTTACATAATTTACATCTTATCCCTTCATCACCAATCATTTTCTTACTGGTGCTAAACGCAGGGAATTTTCGGGAATGATCCCAGTCATCACTAGTAATAATCATCCCATTCCCCCTTTCCTATCCATTCCCTACGTTTAGCACCAGTAAGATTGGTAATAGGTACCCTCTGGTTATTTAACATAGCCATGGTATAGATGGCCCATAGAAATAGATGGTTTACCTATTAAAAATGATGATCTTCCATAGTTTTTTTCCAACCAAAGCCCGTCGCGTCAGGAGATCTTCTCTGGCTGGTGGGAGGCGCCCAAGCCTCGCTCATGTCCCCAGCGGAGCTGACGAAGTCCTTGGCCCAGCGGCCGCAGCAGTTGCGCTTCGTCCGCGGAGATTCCTCGAAGGTGGCCATGGAGATTTCCAAGGCCAGTCACTTGGTGAAACTGGCAGTTTTGTTGATTTGTTTGTTGATTTTTATGTGTTGTTTTGGGTTCAGTGAGATGGTTCATGTTTTTGTTGTTCAATTTTGTGTTTTTGAAATTGTAGATTTGAACTATAATGATATGTGATATGTGTTTTTTATTAACTTTCGAGTTGTATTTTTTTACATGGAAGCCAGGTAATCTGCTGGCATCCTCATCGGGTGAGAAACCAGAAGGTGGGATGAAAGATTACTGCTGGCTCTTGATTTCGGATTGTGAAACAATGACATGGAATATGCCATCATATGGGAAAATCATCCTACTATATCCTAATATCAGGGTTAAATATTGGGATACATAACTACTTCATAACTATATGGAGGTTTCGTCATTTTTTGGGTACCCCTAGTTCTCATCCATGTTATTTTCGGATTTTCCCTGAAATAAACCATCCAGCTATTGTGGTACCCCCGATTTAGGAAACCCCCACATGGTGTATGGTCAACCAATAAAGATGTGGGATGTGTCACCAATATGTTTCGTTAACGACATTTAAATATGAGGAGGGTCAGACCGCGAGGCTCCGGAGGTAGTATGAAACACGAGTTCCATCAGTAGAGTCAAATGTATATTTGAATAATTTGGATTCCGTATGTTTAAATGGCCGGACCAAGGAAAACCTTCCCGGAGGTAGCCTGAAATACCAGTTCGTATATTTAAAAATCCGTATATTTAAATGTAGTTACGTACCGTTTAGTGACAGTGACTAATGAACTGAAGGGGTTCATGACAACGCAAATGATCAGCCAGTTGTGTGTCACGATCCTGCGAAGTTGTCATTGCAGATTTGGGGCCGGGTTGATTATTGGGAATCATCCGCAAATCACTCAACCTTTCAGGCTGGGGACTTGGTTTGATTCAGCCAGTTTGGGTTGCCAGACAATAGGCTACGGACGCCAAAACAAAACCACTGTTTGACTATCATGCTTCTCAACACTGATCTAAATTGGGCAATCTCCAATTTAATTTGAGACAAACCCTCTGCCAAATATACATGGATGACCATACAAATTTGCTGGATTAGATAATCCTGCCAGATACTATATTCACCCCGCTTCGCGTGGGGTGGCCGCCCACACCGCAGGTTTATTTCGGTCCGTGAGAGGGGCTAAGGGTGGTTTTCCCCCGTGGGGGCTCCCCAAGCTAAGAATTTTAACTTTCCCCCCCCCCGTGGGGGCTCCCCAAGCTAGGGAATTTTCACTTTTCCCCCCCGTGGGGGCTCCCCAAGCTAGGGAATTTTCGCTTTTCCCCCCGTGGGGGCTCCCCAAGCTAGGGAATTTTCACTTTTCCCCCCCGTGGGGGCTCCCCAAGCTAGGGAATTTTCACTTTTCCCCCCCGTGGGGGCTTCCCAAGCTAGGGAATTTTCACTTTTCCCCGCCGTGACAGCTTCCCAAGCTATGGAATTTTTCACTTTTCCCTCCCTTGGAGGCTCTCCAAGCTGCGGAATTTCAAATAGCTAGACAACGACGCCTAGATAGTCCCCCAAATCCCGTGTTCTTTGAATGGGTTTCCATGTTTTTGCAATGGTTTCCTTCAAAGCACGGTACTTTACACTTTTGTCGCCATAAAACCGGTCGAAAACATCATGTTCGACAATGCTTCCAATTCCCTTATCTCCCCAACCGTTGAAAATACCGCTATTTACAGTGTTTTCTTCAATTTTTCCATGTTCCAATGCCGGTAGTTAACTCCAACATATATATAAGAAATCCTTCCAAAACATTGTTTTTGACAGTGTTTTTTCCAATGTTTCCAGTCAAACAGACGGTAATTTACACGTTTTTTGCCATAAAGGCAGTAAATCCTTCCAAAACATTGCTTTTGACAGTGTTTTCAGTCAAGCATACGGTAATTTACACGTTTTTTGCTATAACGTCAGTCCAAAACACTTGTTTTTGCAGTGTTTTCAATGCTCTGGCATCCAAAAACCCTGCACAATCTTGCTATGTACAATGTTTTTTCCCCGCCTGCCAGGTGAGGGTTGTTAGATTTTATGTCAGTTGCCTCCTCCTGCCTCGTCCTCCTCCTCCTCCTCCTCTCCTCCTCTCCTCCTCGTCCTCCTCGTCCTCCTCCTCGTCCTCCTCCTCGTCCTCCTCGTCCAACTGCGACCCGCGATCCACAGTGTTCTCTGTCGGACCTCAACCACGACCATCCATGCTCAGTGTTCCCTGCCGGACCTCAACCACGACCATCCACGCCCAGTGTTCCCTGCCGGACCTCAACCACGACCATCCACGCCCAGTGTTCCCTGCCGGACCTCAACCACGACCATCCCGCCCAGTGTTCCCTGCCGGACCTCAACCACGACCATCCGCGCCCAGTGTTCCCTGCCGGACCTCAACCGCGAGTATCCACGCCCAGTGTTCCCTGCCGGACCTCATGTAGGAAGATAGGACAAAGATAGAATTAGATAGAAATCTGTCAGAAGATATGCCAGAAGATATGCCAGAAGATATATGCCAAATAGAATGCCAGATAAGAATGCCAGAAGATATGTCAGAATATATGCCAGAAGATATGCCAGATAGAATGCCAGATAATATGCCAGAAGATTGCCAGATAGAATGCCAGATAGAATGCCAGAAATTTCCAGATGAATGCCAGAAAATATGCCAGAAGATATGCCAGATAGATATGTCAGAAGATATGCCAGAAGATATGCCAGAAGATATGCCAGAAGATATGTCAGAATATATGCCAGAAGATATGTCAGATATAATGCCAGAAGATATGTCAGAATATATGCCAGAAGATATGCCAGATAGAATGCCAGATTGAATGCCAGAAGATATGTCAGATAATATGCCAGAAGATATGCCAGATAGAATGCCAGAAAATTTGCCAGATAGAATGCCAGAAGATATGCCAGATCATATGCCAGAAGATATGCCAGATAGAATGCCAAATAGAATGTCAGAAGATATGTCAGATAGAATGCCAGAAGATTTGCCAGTAAGAAAATGTATAAATGTCATGGTGGGGATCACACGAAGTAAAGTAATTTTCATTTTTGGCCGTTTTTCCATTGCCGGAAAGCTACCAAAATGACCCAAAATTCCATTTCAATACCCTCTTGCGCTCAGACACCCAAAAATCCTCGAAAAATGCCGAAAACACCACCGTATTCTGGTCTCGGTGCGAAACCGTTTTTGGCCCCCCCCCCCAGCTAAAGCTGATATAGCGACTGCTATATTAACAAATGTCATTGAGCATTTAGTGTTGCTGTTTTGCCCCCCAATAAGCACGCCTTCACCGCCAAAGCGGTGTGGGCGGATTTGTATATATTTGTCTATATACCTTTATCCAGCCCGGTGCCCCATTCTTGGTGGGTGAACATGCCATTTCCTGTGCCTTTTGGTAATCTAACATTGCTACTGTATGGGAACATGCATGAAAAGTCGATGATTTACCCATTTTTACACATAACACATGGGTGGTGTTCGGTATTATATATATATATATATCTACCAGAAAAAACATCCATAAATCATCGCCATGTCTATGTCACCCGGTGACATCTATGATATTTATGGATGTTTTGCTGGTAGATATACCGAACAGGACCCAGTTCTTTGCACCAGTTCCAACAGGAGCTGCTCATGAAGGTGGTCTGTTCCAGCAACTGAGTGACCTGCAAGTGCAGCAGTTGCATCTGCAACAGTTGCAACACCGGAAGGAACAAGAGACGCAATTGAAACTCGCTGGTGAACATAGATGTACCATATGTTGTGATATATTTATTTATTTATATAATTTATATATATATATTGGATAAATATTGATAATTATATCATTTAGTCATGTACATATTGAAATTCAGAACAAGTTGCATGATTGATATTGGTTTCACGAAATAATCAATGTACATTCCTGTAGTTTGACAGTTTGCGAACTGGAAACCATCGCCCATTGAAGTAGTTGGATGACTTCCCTATGAATAGCATTATGTTTTCCGGTATCTATGTTTGATTGCCAGAGGGTCCCATATTCTGCGATATGTGTTCTATGTTGATGTGTTGTTTAACCTCAACTTAAGTTTCATATAGTTTCATGAGGGCTTCAAACCCAAATCAACGTGGACGCTTGGTGAGTGGTTTCAGTCATATTGTGTTTGCTTTCGGTCCAAGAAATGCTATGATGATCCTTCTTGGGGTGTTGAGACGCCCAGGAAGTTGCCTGGAAAAGACAAAGACTGGCTGTCCCTCTTGGAACGCCAGAAGGATGAAAAGTATGCCATGCAATCGATGCAACGCGAGCATTTGAGTCGTTGGATTCAAGCCATACAGAACTAGATTCTGTGGGGTTTTCGGGCATTGCCAGGGTTGCTCCAAGCTACTGGGTCCCGGCGCGGGTATCGTAGTTAAATCATTGCCACCAGCCGGGCCATTGTTGTTTATACCAGATATCCCCCGTTGTATTTGGCGTGGCTAGGGGGCAACCCTGAGTAAACACCATGCCACGCAAAAAATCAACTCTTCGCAGTTGGGAAACTCTTGCTACTCAGGTTTTTATACCAGAGAAGCGGCCGGTTGTTGATGCATGTTCATCACTTCAGATGGTCGTTTTTGAGTATCGACTCTATCGACCCATCCCCAAATCAACCAAAAGGACAGCATTTTGTTTGACACGTGACACAGCCCATATTCACCAACAAATATTAGGATTTGTTTTGAGCACCCACCAATGCCAAACATTGCCAAACCCTCATCTTTAAATGCTTTGGAACAGGTATCGACAAGACGGTATATCAATCCCCAAAGAACCCAACAAAAACTGGTTGCTGGTTTGGAACATGTTTTATTTTCCGTAAAATATATGGGATGTCATCCCAACCCCATTGACTTTCACTCACATGTTTCAAGATGGGCACATTGCACCAGCAACCAGAAAAACCGCCAAGGTCAGTTGGGTGAATCCTTGCAGCATCACCAAGACCTCCTGGGCGCGTTGGATCGCGACGAAGGCACCGGCTACGGCTCCGGCCCCGCGCTGCCGCCGCTGAAGATCCGCGCGGCGCCTGGCGCAGCCATCCGGAAACCGCCCAAGCCGCCGGCCCTGGGGCGTAGGAGCCGGGAGGAAGCTGAAAAGATGGAGGAGCAGCAGGAGGAAGCTACGTTTTTTTTGTTTGACCAAACATGTGTTGTTTTAAATGTTTTTTTTGTTGTGTGTGTTTTGGGGAAGAAATGATGATGTTCCACTGTTGAAGACCTCACTGTAGGTTTGAGGTGGTCCAAGAATGGGGGACCGTGATTCTATGTCCACTAAACAATGGGGAACATTGGGTTTGAAGCCACGGGATTGAATGAGGTACCATACTTTCAGGCCAACTCAAGCAGAGGAGCCTGATAAGATTGAAGAGAAGATGGAAGAACCCGAGCTTCAATCGCAGAACGAGGAGGAAAAGCAGGAGATCGAAGATATTGAAAAGCAGAGAGAGCAAGAAGAAGAGAAGTCCGAAGAGATTCCAGAGCAGAAACCAGAAGGGAAGCAGGTTCCTGAAGAATTTCAAGCTGACAAGCCAAAACTCTGCCAAGAGCTATCAGTTGACCAGACAACCCAAACAGGGACAGTTCCTCCGCCACAAGACGAACAGCCATTTGGTCCATCTCCCGTTGCCACTGAATTCTCAGGTTTGAAGCCTTTGAGTGCTCTGGAACCACAGATGTCACAGTTTCTTGACCAAAGAGGTGGTCCAATGTCACATCTACTCCAGCATGGGTATACGTATACCTTCTGTGGTTGGTGGATTGACAGATTTCTATGTTTAACACCCCCGAAGTCGGGAGGACTATCCCAAAATCATTGAATTTATGAATTGGAATATATGAATAACATCATAGGTATGGCCTGGCTTAAAATTATTGATTCGTATATTGCATTGGGACCGTTTGCAGTAATATTACAAGAATGACAAGCATCAAAGCCAAACCTCTATTTGTCTATTGGTCAAATTTTGGAACCCTGCTGAATATCAAAATAGTTGTTGTCTTGGAATGTTTACTTTCCCATTGATATGGTATTTGCTCAGTGTCCATCGAAGACAAAGATAGCAGAGTTTGAATCACCCAACTGATTATATAGTGAATCTTAAGTATTCATCATGATTCTACATCTACGCCTTTTTGGCTTCTGGTCCCCAATTTTTTGGGGGTCCCAGGTTTGATTTGCCTAAGACCAGACAGCGCCAACTGCAAGTCCCCGCGCCACCGAACCAACCGCCACTCCCGGGTCTGGTGGAACCGTCTGGCCCTCAGCTGGCAGCACAGCGACGTTTGCGGGAGCTTCCGCCGCCTGACAGACCGCCCAGTGCGGAAATGATGGCAACCTGGGCGAAACACATAGGGTGGGTGGAGCTGGGTTTTCCAGGTCATGGGATTTTGAGCTACTGGTCTACTGGTCCACCAAACTAATATATGGTGATCGATCTAAAGGTCCTTGTAAGGAGTTTTAATTGCGAAAGCCGTGCATGTTATGTTGGAAACCCTCGCGAAAGTTTTTTTTTCGAGTTCGCGAAAGTAAAATTTTATTTCGCGAAAGTTTCGCGAAAGTTGGGTATTATAATCATTATAATCATTATATGTAAACAGCCAGTTCTCGAAACCGCCAGAAAAGTTGATTACCTATAAGGAGAAGACAAATGATTCAGATTTCGGACCCCCTTTTATTGCTGAAAGATATGCTCAAATCGATTACTGGCTGGCAAGCAAAGATTGGAAATCCTTTTGTGACGATGTCCAAAGTCGACGTGATATAGCTTTTGACTCAGACCACCTTGTCCTTGAATCTTGCATCAGCATGAAGCCGCCGCCGCGACTGCTGGATACCGAACCCCTTCATAAATATTCGAAGCCATCTACCGATCAATGGGTAAGGTACAACCAAGAGTGCCATAAATTTCTTTCCAGCGACCAAGTGTGTTTTCAGACTTTGGTGCAAGGTATCCTGCAAGCGGCGGCGGGCGCTCTGGAGAAAGTACCCCCTGGAAAGAAAAAAACATACATCACAAAAAACACTTGGGATAAAATTGAGAAACGAAACCAATGCAGAAGAAACGGAGCGCCGACAAACCAAATTCGTAGCTTAAATAAAGAAATTGCCAAATCTGCGCGGCTCGATCGCCGGAGCCATTTGATTGAACAGTTCAATGAAAATCCTAATGATCCTAATAAGACAGGGTTGTGGAGAGCAGTCAGGCAGCTGAAGACCAAGTTTATTCCACAATACGTCCAAATGAAAAATGGTGCCGGCGAACGAGTTCCGTTAACCAGTAGGGCAGAAACAATTGCAGAATACTTGGAAACAAATCATTGGATGAATGATTTTAACATAGGCATGCCCGATGAATCTAACATATGGAATAATAATGGCGCGGACGATGGACCGTTCAGATTAGATGAGTTACATGGGGCGTTAAAAAGGGCAAAAAACAACAAACAACCAGGGCCAGATGATATACGGATGGAACTTCTAAAGTGGCTTGATGATGCAAACCGACAATGCCTGTTGAATTTGATAAACAAGTGGTGGATACAAAGGGAGGCCCCAAAAGAGCTTTTTGCTGCCAGGGTTGTCCCGCTTTACAAAAAAGGAGATACAGATAATGCAGCAAATTATAGGCCAATCTCTCTTCTTAGCAGTCTTTACAAAATCTACATGATGATGATTCGGCAAAGAATGTAAGACGCCATCGATGATAAATTATCTCCTACGCAGTACGGGTTTCGCCCTAACAAATCCACATCACATGCCATATATGTCATCCGTCGAATTCAAGACTATGCTGAATCAAAGGGTACTCGTTTGAGCCTATCTTTACTCGATTGGGAAAAAGCATTTGATAAGATCCAGCATGATAAGTTGATATTGGCCTTGAAAAGGATGGGCTTTAATGCTCATTTTTGTGATGTCATTAAGAATTGTTACAGAGATCCGACCATTTTTGTCAAAGATGCGTACGGTTGCTCCAGCCATAAGAGGCAGTCTGCTGGAACAAGGCAGGGGTGCCCTTTATCCCCTTATCTTTTCGTTATCGTTATGTCCTCTGTTGATTTCGATATACGTTCTAAAAGCAGCAGTAGGGTTGCAAATAATCGTATCCCCGGTCTTACTTTCGACATGGTTTATTATGCTGATGACACAATTTTGTTCTCTACCGACAATAGGGCTCTAAATGAATTATTGGCATTGACGGAATCGGTTTCAAGTAAGTATGGCCTGCGACTCAACAAAGATAAATGCGTGGTGGTACAGATGATGATGACTTGGTCCATTTCGCAAATAATGAACCGCTCCCAAAAAGGTTTGAAACTATGTATCTAGGCAGCGAAATCAATAAGGAGGCAAACATACGACACGAAATCCTCAACAAAATCCAAGAAGTCCGGAAAACATGGTTTAGATTGTTACCGTACTGGAAGGCCACAAATGCAAATAAGAAGTGGCAGCTGTTGATTTTTGATGCTGTCATTAGATCAAAGCTCCTATACGGACTTGAGACAATCCATCTCACCCAAGCCATGTTAACCAAAATTGATGCCTTCCAGTTACGGAGTCTGAGGAAAATCCTTGGAATAGCGCCGACATTTGTAGACAGACGCAACACCAACGTAGCAGTTCTGCAGAAATGTACAGATACAGCTTTCCGAGATCCGGGTGACCGCAGAACAGTTCAATTATTTAGCAGTTTATATTTGAATCGTAAAGCTAAATTGCTTGGTCATGTAATAAGATCTTCCAATGATGACCCGCTGAGACAAGTTTCTTTTGAACCAGATACCGCTGTAAGAGTTCACTACGGGAAAAAAAGATGTGGTCGCCCGCGACAGAATTGGTTGCATTATGCCAAAAAATATGTGTTTGAGGAAAGACTTAACCGAAGAGATTATAGCGAATCATTTCATGATGACTCATGTGTTTATAATGCAGCCATCAACCGAGAGTTTTAGCTTCGCAGTGTTCCTTCGCTACGCCAACGCCTTGCATTCTCGTGATGAACCTCAGTGCAGGGTAGGGCTTGGAAAAAAAAAATATGTAAAGGGCTGCCACCCACTTCTTCCCGGGGTCCGGCAGGAGAAGGGCACCAGAGAATGCGAGTAGCAGTAGCCAAGTTTCCAAAAGTGAGGCTTTGCGAGAGCCAAACACCAAGGCCCCTGGTCTTCGCTTTTCCTTCAGTGCACCCCCTGCTGATGGCCGGGGTCTGTGAGTAGGGATATTTTCGCGAAAGTTCCGCGAAAGTTATGCGAAAGAGCGGGCGAAAGTCAAAGTGCATGTTGAAGGGGGTGGGCCAGTAAACTTTGCAAAAAAAAATCTGTCCTGAGAAGCGATTCCGTGATGCTAGCTGCATGTTTAAAAGGCTACCAAGGAGTGATCCGTGATTCTCTGGCGTAATTTGGCAGGTGGTGAACGAATCTTCATAAGAGGTGTTGTTGGCCAACATGGGCCCCGCGAAAGATAAACATGGAGTTCGCGAAAGGTTCGCAAAAGTTTTTTTTATTCGCGAAGAATGGCCGTTCCGGGATAAAGGAATTTTGATCAACAACCATATATATTTCCAAGTAAAAGAGGGGCCATATGCGCTGAAATAAGAGGATATCATGATATATCATGATATACAATGGGCATGTGTCGTCGGTAAATTGGTGGGTTCACTCATATTCAGTGAGCGTCCTTCCCATGGAATAGGAAGATGATCAGAATTGACCAGCAATTGTTTTGTTGTAGGTGGCTTAACCACCAATCAAATGTGTTTTTTCTTGGATGTTCTTGTGTATTCCTGTGGAACTTCCGACTTCAACATATTGTTTCCAAGAACATGTCAGCGATTTCATTGAGAGGATTTCCAGCCATTTGTTGCGGTGCCGACCTCCCAAAACTGCGGGGCTGGGGTTTGCATGTGCAAAGATCCACCAGTTGAAGCCCACTTCAGGCAGACACCTTCAGGAGCAACACTGATGGCAACTCACTGATTGTCCCATCCCAACAGAGTCGACAGACGGAAGCATCACTGGATATCAATGAGCTACAGAGTTGGCTCGCAAGATCATCACTTTCAGCCGATGCCGTGATCTTCTGATTCTGGCCGTGATCATCACTCGCCCAGTCGCAGCATCAGTCGCTTCTCATCAGCTCGGTGATGGGAGGTGATCAGGGGACCATGAGGACCAAGGGGCTTGGAGGTCATTTGACGAAGGTGAAAAGGAGGACCAAACATCGGTGGCTCAAGGACAGACGAAATGGTGGCCAAAAATGTCGGCAGATGTTGAGGGCGGATTGCATTCGACACATTTTTTGTTTGCAGCTGGGTTTGGGATAGAAAAAAATACCACTGGGACCAGTTGTGCATGGTACAGTATGATATTTGCAAAGTTTGAAGATGTTTGAAGGCATTCGAGGAGTTGATTCCTGGGTGAAAAAGCCATTCAAACAACTTCAGGTCCAACCGTTGGGTAGCTGTTGGGAACCACCTAAGCGTTGAGACAAGAGATCAAAGCTGCAGTGAATGAACATGTTGAACATGTTTGGATGTTTCAGGATTTTGGTGTGACATACACTATTTATTATTCATTATTCATCATTATTCACCATGAAGCCAAGTATGGGAGAAAATTCTAGGTGTCTCATGTCAATTCGGCTTCTGATATGTCCCAGCATGGCCGGGGCCTTCGAATTGAGTGCCAGAAATAGCAACCTTTCCAGGTTGATTTTTGTAAAAGGCTTGTCTGACAAAGCTTGGTGTGGTTTGGATTACCACAACACTTCAGTATGCCTTCTTGGAATTCATATCAACCAAAAAGTAGAGCCCAACCATGTCCAAGCCATCTTTTGTTGGTATCATCAGTCTAGTAAGTCTAGAAGAACTCCATATAAAAATATGTTACACCCACATGTTCAACACGTGTTGGAAATTTCTCAGCATGTTGTTTTGGGTTGCGGTTAGATGATATAATAATAATTAATATAATATGATAATTATTGTTATTATTATTCTTATTATTATAGATATGTATATATACATATTACAGTCATTATACATATTTTTATATATATATATACGATTATATATATATATATATCAAATTTAATTGTTCTATATATTGTTTGTTTAGATGATTCTATAAATCACCCTGACATCCCCCCCCTTTTCCGCAAAAATTGGCTCCAGTTTCACTTGACATGCCACGCGCGCCGAGCTTGGCCGTCCCAGCAAGATGATGACCCCAGGGTACCGGAGCTGGGGATGACTCAAAACTCGGGGTGTATCCTCCAGTGAACATAGCCATGGAAAGCCACGATTTTTCAGAGGTCATTCATGTAAATCATATTAAAAAAATCAAACTCAATGGGCCCTGTTCCATAGCTATGTCAATCTACCAGAAGGGAATGCCCGTATTTTCTGACGGGTGGGTGAACTTGGATGCTACAGTACTGTGATGTGTTGTCTCTAATTCCAGCGCATTAGACATATCAAACTCAAGATTTTTGTATATCGATATTGGGGGAAGTCATACTGTATACAGTGCCAACTAATAGTTGGATGATCATCTCATATCCAAGGTGCTTTGACCATGGTACACATGGTGATCTGTCTGATTTCTTGGTGAAAGATGGGATTTCCAGATTCTCAAAAACGTGGAAGATCTAGTCAAGGAGCCGTGGGAGTGAACCAGCAAAAAATGACACATTTTACCAGTAAGATATGCCCAGATTAGGGGATGGTCATCCATCCGGAGGATTAAGAGGGAAATACCTACAGTATTAATTATATATATAGTGGATGGTGAGAATCCTTCATCATTACAGTACTATAATATGGTGTACTTTATATGTGTATAGTACTATATAAAAATACCCCACCATCATTAGAGGATTCCTTGATGGTGGGATGACCAGATATGACATATACCATGTCAATTGACCCAATGCACGACGCCGGAGATGCCGGACGCCTCCGGGAGACATCGGGCGGATGTTTGTCCGGCCGCAGGGTGTTTCGCTTCTGCCAGAGATGCTAACCATGGAGGAAGCGCCAGAGGAAATGGAGGTGCGCCCCATGGCTGGATGTGATATTGACATCCCATCCGTTTGAAAAAAAAACACAGCCAGTGAATGTGGTCCCAAATATGTCA